GTGAGCGTCACGGCCAATTCGAGCATAGTGTTCTCCTGTAAGGGAAGGATCAGTCTATACACGGCATCCGCTCATATAATGCATGCTATGACCCACTGTCATACCCATTGTTCTTTCCAATGGGTGAGCTCGGGTGGCACAACTGCATTCCAAAAGTTGGTGTGACTATGGCTCAAGTTGATCGAGCTCAAGCAATCCGCAAAAAGCGTGCTGAGAATGGTGACGATGATGATGGAGGTAACTTGAACTCTTTTCAATAATGCAATATAAACTCTTTTCTGTTCACGCATGATACTAATTCGAACAATGTCTCCCTGTAGAACCTATTTTGAATACATGTGTCTCCGTGCGCGACTACTACTGCTACAAGTTCCAGATACGGCCACGGATATTTAATCCAATACTCTATGGCCGTTGTCTTTTCTAGCAGTTCACCGTCGACACCTACATCAAGATTGAGAGCTCACGTTTAGACTACATGAGGAACAATCAGGATACTTTGAGGGCTGACCTATACCAAGGCCTGGTGGACAGCATGCATTCGGGTGAAGGATCTGCTGAGAATGTCGGAAGGCGTACTGTCCTATCTTCGTCATTCATCGGAGGACCCCGTGATATGAGGCACTGATACATGGATGCAATGGCTCTGGTGTGAAAGTATGGTAAACCTGATATCTTCCTCACAATGACGTGCAACCCTAACTGAGATGAGATCAAGAATGAACTTTATCCAAGCAAGACACCATAGGACTACCCAGATCTCGTCACACGGGTCTTCAGAGCAAAGTTAGAGGCGATGAGGAAAATGTTGATGGAGAAAGACATACTTGGGAAGGTGAAGGCCTACGTATATGTAGTGGAGTTCTAGAAGAGGGACTTGCCGCATGCACACTTCTTGCTGATAATGGAATGGAAGTACAAGCTCACATGTCCCGAGCAATATGACATGATTATCAGTGCGGAGCTACCAAACAAGAAGTACCCTGAGCTCTACAAGATGGTGACGAAGCATATGATGCATGGTCCCTGCGGAACGCTAAATCCATACTGTCCGTGCACGGTGGGCCACGGGTCATGCAAGAACCGTTACCCGCACCCATTCTATGAGGCAACGTCACAGGGAAAGGATTCGTACCCCATCTATCGGTGACACAATGATGGTCGCATGCTAAAAGTTTGAGGCCATTACCTGGACAATCAATGGGTCGTGCCTTACAACCCTTGCCTGCTACGTACCTTCAACTGCCATATCAATGTTGAGGCCTATGGGAGCATTAAATCAGTAAAGTATTTATTCAAATACATATATAAGGGACATGACATGGCATCGGTGGTGATGAGGGAGACCGACAAAGCAGACGAGAAAGGGAACATTGATGAGATCAAGTAGTATAGAGATGCCCGGTGGGTGACGCCTCCAGAAGCACTATGGAGGATATATGGCTTTGACTTGAGCAAGAACTATCCACCAGTACAGCAGCTGCAGCTTCATCTACCCGACATGCACATGGTGGCATTTCATAAATGGGATAAGGTCAAACGGATCGTTAATAGGCCAGGTGTAGAAGAGTCAATGCTGACAGCATACTTCGATGCAAACAGGCATCATGAGGAAGCCTGCGGAATCTTGTATCGGGACTTCCCGAAGCATTTTACCTGGCAGTCTAATGGTAAATTCTGGCAGAAAAGGAAAAACTCCGTTTTCAAGTTGGAAGAGTCATCTCGGCTCATCCTACTGAGGGAGAACGTTACTTTCTTCGTGTTCTCTTGAACAATGTTGCTGGTGCTACCTCATACGAACATCTGAGGACAGTTGATGGCATGCTACTACCTTCGTTCTGTGAAGCTATAGAAAGGAGGGGTCTAATCGAAGAAGACAATACACTGGATGAATGTCTAACTGAAGCTACTTTATTCCAGATGCCTTCCTCTCTGTAGAGGCTATTTGCAACAATATTGGTATTCTGCGAGCCGCATGATGTGATGGGGTTGTGGAAAAAACACTACGATGCAATGTCAGAGGACTACAGCCGCAATCATCCATCCCTAGATCTGGTGCAACAAATGGTTTTGATAGACATTAGAAACATGCTGCAGTCTATGGGGAAGGACATAAGGTCATTTCCTCTTCCAGATATTGATCACTCATACGATAATGCCAACCATATTCCTCGTGAGATATTTGAGGAAGCTAGCGTCGAGCAGAATCCCGAAGATGTGCTATTGTGCGACTCACTCAACGCTGAGCAAAGGTCTGCCTATGATGAGATAATGGCCCCTGTCTGCAGCAAACAAGGTGGGTTGTTCTTTGTGGATGGACCTGGCGGGACGGGAAAGACATTTTTGTATAGGACACTTCTCGCAAAACTACACAGCCAGGACAAGCTTGCCGTGGCTACAGCTACATCTGGAGTCGCAGCAGCCATAATGCCAGGCGGGAGGACAGCCCACTCACGTTTCAAGATACCCCTCACTCTTCAAGAGGGCGGTTGTTGTAGCTTCACGAAGCAGAGTGGTACTACCAAGTTGCTGCAGCAAGCAGCTCTCATAATTTGGGACGAGGCATCTATGACAAAGAGGCAAAATGTGGAAGCACTAGACAACAGCCTACGGGATATAATGGGCCGGTCAAACCTACCGTTTGGTGGAAAGACTGTTGTCCTTGGTCGGGATTTCAGACAGGTCCTCTCTGTTGTACGGAAAGGATCCGGAGCTCAAATAGTCGGTGCTTCTCTACGAAGGTCGTATCTTTGGGAATCCATGCGTCACCTAAAGCTCGTCCGCAACATAAGGGCTTAAAGTGACCCGTGGTTTGCAGATTATCTATTGCGCATTGGTGGTGGAACGGAAGAGGTTAACGGAGATGGCAATGTACGTATTCCAGACGAGATATGTGTCCCGTACTCTGGAGATGCTGAGAAAGATCTTCATACATTGATCGACATCACCTTTCCAGATCTAAATGCAAACATGGCGAACAAAGACTACATCACCACCAGAGCAATTTTATCTACACGTAACGATTGGGTGGACATGATCAATATAAAATGGCTGATATGTTCCAGGGCGGCGAGACGGTGTATCACAATTTTGACTCCGCGGTAGATGATCCACATAACTACTATCCATCAGAGTTCCTTAACAGTTTGACCCCCAATGGGCTGCCTCCACACGTCTTGAAGCTCAAGCTCGGATGTCCTGTCATATTGCTTAGGAATATTGACCCTGCCAATGGGCTATGCAACGGTACAAGGCTGGTGGTGCGGGGGTTCCGAAGAAATACAATCGACGCTAAAATCATGGTGGTGCAGCATACTGGGAAGCGGGTATTCCTTCCTCGAATACCGCTATGCCCGTCTGATGACGAGATGTTCCCGTTCTAGTTTAAGAGGAAGCAGTTTCCTATCAGGCTGAGCTTTGCCATGACGGTCAACAGGTCATAGGGCCAAACTATCCTGAACGTGGGTGTGTACCTACCCGCATCGGTGTTCTCTCACGGTCAGTTGTACATTGCGATGTCTAGAGCCACGTGAAGAACCAATATTAAGATCCTTGCCCTCCCGCCTAATGCGGAGGGACAAGAAGAGGAGGCCAAAAAGATAGACAAGAAAAATGCTAAAAAGAATGCCGAGGGAAAAAATATAAGAATTCGTCAAATAAAAAAGATAAGAATAAGAAGACCCCAATAGCGGATGGAACTTTCACGAAGAATATTGTATTTAAGGAGGTTCTAACGCCGTAGGCGAGGTAACTGAACATTACTAACGCATACAATGCATTTTTTCCATTCAATTTATATTGTACAAATAATATCTCACTAATGTCATATTTGTTGGTGTTCCTAGGTATTTTTAAATGGTTTATCAGACTCTACACGGAGATATCATATATACACTTGTGTGATGGCGTAATGAAAATTGAACATGTGTTATATTATTGTTATAAAAATGACATTTTGAGTGTTTTGTTCATAATATTTTGTTTTGTAACCATTCATAACTATTACACGTGTATGTTCTCAAAACCATTAGTTTTGTCGACTTTTCCTATTTTTTTCATGTGCCAATGTGGGATCAACCGAATTAGCACATGCATAATTACAAACATAAATTACTTGAATAAAACCAACGAAGCAAGTTAGCGATAATAATGAAAAATAGTGCTAAACAACACCATACCTGTGGTCGTGGGATGGCACGATTGTAGTGGCGTTGGTTCCGCGCATTTAGGAGGATAGCTTTTTTGTATTTTCCATTGTTGCACCAGGGTCATTAGTTTGTGAGCACGAAAGAAATAGATATCAGAGATTTCTTCCTGCCAATATAAAACATTATCTTAGCCGCATCACGAAAATATCTATAAAGTAGAGTTTGTGAGCCTACGACGCCGCGTACTCCGTGACTGTGTTAAATTCATAAGCTTTGCTTTTTGGATTAAATGTCATTTTAATGTTGGTATTTAATTTTTACAATATTATTATCTTATCGTACGATCCGTATATTTTTAGTACAAAATATTAGCTATCTCGTAGCAATATACGTACACGCTAGTCAGTTATATAAGCCTGAAAGTTGCCCAGGAACAAGGAGGTCTGTGGTGGCATCTAATGGGCCGCAAAATTCTGGACCTAGCGATTGCGCTCGCAACACCCACGTGTGCACGCAGCCTGGCTCAACACAATTCATTCGTCACGGACTTTGTCCCGTCTGCTCAGCGAAACAATAGCCAACACTAACCCCACCTGTCACTGAGTAGGAACCCGTAATGCCCAGCGAGCAGCTCCTGGCTCCTGCCGGTACACGGAACCCGGGCACCCACGGACCACGGTTGCCACCAAGCCACGCCCCGCGACATGGCGGCGGTGCGCCTGCGGCTGCGCGTATCCCCACGCCTCCGCTCCATTCCCCTCCTGGTCCTGCTCTCCCAGCCAGACGCCGCGACGGTCCGGCGTAGTTTCGCCTGCGCCAGCGCCTCCCCAGCCCCCCGCACCCGCGCGGGCCATGGCGGCCCCGTCCTCCTCGTCCGCGACGCCCTCCCCGTACACGACGCTCGTTGGGCGCGTGAGCTGCGAGCGCGAGATCAAGCGCAGCAAGTTCATCGCCGTCGCCGCCCCCGTCCCCAACGAGCGTGCCGCCATGGCCTTCCTGGACCAGGTTGCTCTTCCCTACCCCTCCCTACACATAATTCCTCATATAGCTAGCTGCAGCAGAATCTGCGCCTCACCTATAGTTAGCACTGCTATTTCGTTGTAATTGCGGTGCCCCATTGCTTTGCCTGGCCGATCAACTAACGTGGGATAATTTCAAACACTAGAAAATGTTGCATCGAGGAATTCATCCATGTTACTTCAAACAGTGTTTCCACTCATCCCCACTGCAAACTTATCCATTCTACAAAGAGTAAAGACTACTTGAGTATCGAGGCTTTTACTTGTGTGCCATTATAAAAGTTGGTAATTACCTATAAGTCATTAAAAAAGTTGAGTTCTCACAGGTGCCACTGCTCGGAACTCTTTTGCCCTCCACGCCACTTCTGTCAGATTTGGCTCTAACGGTGTCAAACTGCGGGGGTGAAAAGTCGAAAATACCCTCAGGTCTAAATATGCAATTAATTTTTTTAGCATCTTAATGATCTCAGATGAAAAAACTCAAAACTATAAAGTTGTAGATCTCGTCGAGATCTACAATATTTTTATAAAAATTATCTTCATTTGTTTCCTTACAAAAAATGTGATTTTTCTAAGACATTAATAATATCAAATCATATTTTTTTGTACAGAATTAAATGAAGATATTTTTTATACAAAAATTGTAGATATTGTCGAGATCTACAACTTTCTAATTTTGAGTTTTTTCATTTGAGGTCATTAAGATGTCCAAAAAAATTTATTGCATATTCAGACCTGAGGGCTATGCAGCACGGATACGGATATGTGTATCGGTATCAGAAGGATACGGATACGCGGATACGGCAATTTTCTAGAAAACATGATACGCGGATACGTTTTACTATTTTTTAATAAATAAATAATAATACAAATTAAAAATTGCGAAAGTCTAAAACTTGAGTTACAGGAAATCCTAATGTCGGTTCTCTGTTGTGATTGTGGCTGGTAGCCACTGCCCACAGATCCTATGCTAGGATTAGCACTAGCACTTAGCTTGTGCCAGCACTACCAAATTTGGAGAGACCACCTATTGCATGCAAGCAATGAAGCAATCAAGAATGGGCAAAAATCAGGAAGGGGAAGTGGGGAACAAACAAAATTAAGCAAGAACTGCAGAAGTAGAGTAGATCAAGAATAGGGAAGGGGATGTACATGCAGAATTAGAGTAGACAGCTTGCTTTGCTGCTGAATCATCCTCTCCACTGCATCCCCTGCATCACGGGAGCTGGCCGCGACCATGACGAACTGCTAGGTGCTCCCCGGCGCGGCGATCTGGAGGAGGATGGCATGGAGGGGCCAGAGGCTCGGCGACGGCGGCCGGCGAGCAGTGACGCATCCCCTGCGCAGGAGGCGGCACACATGTACGCAGGAGGCTGTGCGCGGGGACGGAGGCTCGTCTCCAGCGAGCGGGGGACGGAGGCTCGTCGGCGGCGGCCGGCAAGCGGGGGCGGAGGCTCGTCGCCGGTGACCGGTGAGCAGGGACGAGGCTTCCTTGCGCGTGTTCGCTGGAGGCGGCGCGACCGCACGAGGTGCGAGCGTCGGGGAGACACAGGGAGACATTGTTTTTGTTGGGCTGGGCCCTATCCCAGATACAGATACGTATCCACAGGCGTACTCAAGAATTGCGAAATTAATAAAAAATCGGATACTCCGCAGATACGTATCGGGCGCGTATCCGACGCGTATCCGTATCGGATACGTATCCGACACGCGATACGCTCCCTCAGCCACGTATCCGTGTAACGTAGCCTGAGGGTATTTTGGACTTTTCACAACCGCGGTTTGACACCGTTAGAGCCAAATCTGACGGAAGTGGCGTGGAGGGCAAAAGAGTTCACAGCAGTGGCACCTGTGAGAACTTAACTTTTATAATGGCTTGTAGATAATTATCAACTTTTATAATGGCACACAGGTAAAAGCCTCTTGAGTATTTGTGCAGTTTCTAACTCTGTTTTCTTTTTTGAAATACAGTACGTAACTAAGTTAACTTGGTCCATTTGGTTTTGTGTGATAGGTCAAGGATCCACGTGCTACCCATAATTGCTGGGCATACAAGGTTTGTATTTCCATCTCAAACTCGCCATTCATGTATGTGTTAAACCCTTAACAGTGAATTTATCTTGCATGTATGTGTGTTTAGCTTGGAGAGCAATTCCGTTACAATGATGATGGTGAACCTTCTAGCACAGCTGGGAAGCCAATATACTCTGCCATCATTTCCTCTGGCATCGATATGGTCATGGTGGTTGTGATTAGGTAATCATTTTGTCAAGTAACACACTTCATTTATATGTTCTCAATCAAGACCTTACCGATCTGTTTTAGTGATCAGTAACTGGTATCATCTATACAGTGTACACCCACCACATATTTTGACAGATTCATTCGTGTAATTATCACCTTACCTTATCTCTCTGTTTTGAATGACATGAATAGATATTTTGGAGGCATAAAACTGGGAACCGGTGGACTGGTGAGAGCTTATGGTGGGGTTGCTTCTGAATGTCTTAAAGATGCTCCTACTTGTCTTGTGAAACCAAAGGTGATGGATGTCTAATTCTTCAGTATTTGTTTTTTTTATCGATATAATGTTCTTACACATTCCAGGCTCGTGTGGGTATGGAGGTACCATTTGATCTGTTGGGCACGGTCTATCATCAGGTGATTATTATTAATTCATCATATTGCTTGGAATGTAGAGCACACATGTAAAACTGGATTTTACTTACCCTTTTTTGTCCTTGATTAAAGCATAATCTACTATGAACTGTTTTAAGCATGTCTCAGTGCATTGATGGTGTGTACAGGCACTGATACTAATTAGAAATTATCCTTGAAAAAGCTAGGTCTAGGTTATCTAATTTGCACATTCACTTGCTATGTACGTGCAACAACATACAGAGGCTGTACATCTAATTGTTTGATCTGCCATGCACTGTGTATGTTTGTATTACCTGCATAGTTACTGACCTGATTCCAGTACCTTCTTGAACATCTTTTTGCAACCTAGAAGGTTTTCTGATACTAGTAGGTTTGGTTATGACATATGATTCTTTTTTGTTAGGTAAATTTAAACACTCAATATATATCTAAAAACTGATTGTGCTAATTTAATCTGGTATACTGTTTTGGGACCCTAGTAAGTAATATGTACTTCAATTTAATCTTTCAGAACATACTGTTTTGTTCGCATGTTGGACCAATATACTGCTGAGCAGAATTGAACTCCTGATTGTCTATTTACAGTGAGTCTCTATCACTGTTAACCCAGTATACAACTATGATGGGCCAAATAGGCGCTGGTGGCCAGGCAAAGGGTGTCAGACAGCACTAGTGCAGCCGCCGTCACCACCCCTGTGGGCTGCGGGCGACCAATTACCCCACATCTAGTTAACCTCAAGCCTTGTTATCTCTTAATTAGGATCATAATTGTAAGATTCCATCTATAGGTTGCTTAAGAGTCTAGGACTCTAAGTCACCTTCTCTATAAATAGAGAGGAAACATACGTGGGAAAATAGAGAAGAATGAATTAAGAGGTTTAACCTGTCACACTCTGTTGCTCATGCCGGTGTTGGCAGCAGGGCCGCCGTTGCCCCCTTCTCTTTCCTCCTAAGGACGATTAGCCCTAGGGCAGCTGCTCCCCTTTTTCCTCCCTATCCTTCTCCCTCGTCCCTGGTTAGTGTTCACAGTACTGATCACGACGAACAGTACTGTGCCATTCTCCTCAATTCTTCCTCAAAACCCTCTCGCTAATCTCTGGTGATCCAGACATATAACAGAAACTGAGTAGAGTTGAACTCTTAATTTCTGAAACAGTGACCGTAGTTATTTGTATCTGTCATAATGAAGTACTATCGATTATGACACCTATTGTTGTCCCAAATCCTATTGAAGTGGTTCTAAGTAGTATTACTTTGTCAATGCTAGCATATGCTTGTGCTACACAAGTTCCTGAAAGTTAATACTGAATAGTTGCATTATGTAATCTTGTATTGGTTGGATCTATGCCCCATTAAGGGTGGCAACAATAACTGCACTCTAAAACTGATTGTAAATTGAGTAGCTCTGTTTATTTTCCAAAACAAAGCTTAGTGAACTGCCTTAAAAAAAAAAAGAGAAAAGCTTAGTGAACTGATCATGTGATCTCAGCTAGTCCCTTAAATTAACTTGTTCTTTTTTTTTTAAAAAAAATATCCTAGTTATCATGTACTTCTGCTGCCTACTGTCACTTCATTCTCTGTTTTATCCATGTTCTTTGAACATGGTTATGCCTTGCTGCGTCTCTTGCTTGATTTGTACTTTCAAAAGCATATGTATGACTGAATTAAATGTTCAAACAGCTGCAACATTTCCAAGCTGAAGATATTAAACAGGACTACGACACTGGAAAAGATGGTACTGTTATGGTCATGTTCGAAATGGAATATGAAAAAATTGAGAATCTTGGAAATGCAGTGAATTCAGCTTGTAGCAGGAAAATAGAACTATATCTATAAACCGCAAGCATGGGTAAAGGATGATTTTCAGTTGGTACAACTTCAGTTGGTTGAGTGTGTGGAGACACTCATTCGTATGTACTTGCAAGCCTCTAGTTCTTATTCATTTGCCTCGCTATTTATTCTGGAATCCCCATGGCTTTTTTCGCCCAGCATGTAGGCACCAGAAATATTTAGCACCTTATTTAACTGCTAGGCCATATTGAACTGCTCCAGTGTAAACTGTACAGCCAGCTATTTGATCTTGAGGGGCATTCTTGCCTTCCAAATGTTTTTGTAGCTACTAGCTATCATGCTCTGAATGACACCAGTGTTTATATAAACTGATTTCACCATGAACTTGCCATGCTTCTCCCACTCAATTTTGTTGTCCTTTGCACTACTTAAAGCACACCCGAAGAGTCTGTCATGTAATCTTGTTAGTTGTTGATTAACTCTTCATCAAGCCATCGTCTTAAGGTCAAGCGCATCTCTTACTATGGATTTACTGTACAGAACATTCTTGTCCATTGCAAATATTGAACAAGGCTGAATTTGCCCTTCAGGGACACATTTCCACACAAGTATCAGACCAAAAGTCAGTATTGCTTCCCTTACCCTCTACCATTTCCCTTCCTTTTAGATAGATATGTTTAATTTTGAGGAGATCATTCCACACGGGGGAATTGGTATTTTTAGCTTTGATACGGCACTAGGCACATCATGCTGCCACTTATGTTATTAGATAAGAATAATGTAGAAATCTCATTCTGCTCAGTAATGTATAAAGACCAAATAGTTTATTAACAGCAAGACGAAATGGTACAATAGACTGGCTGCATTCACAATCACACCACATGCTAGCCAGGATCACCCAAATAGCAGAACAAACATGACATGCAAACTGAAAATGACGATAACTGATGAATCAAACTCCTGACTAACAGAAAGTAAGAAAAGTCCCGCTACAATGAACTTCAAGGGTTAGTGGTTTGTGGGGATGGGGCAGTGAGTGGCACCTGGAGTCCGGGAATGGTTGGGATTGTTGTTGGAATCGTAGTTGGAATGGATGGCACAGTAGTGGGGATCGAGGGCATTGGTGGCAGGGTAACCTGGACTTTAGGAATAGCTGGTACGGTGGTTGGAATCACCGGGTTTGGGAGAGATGGGATTGCGCCAGCAGCTGTTGGTGGCAGGGCTAACTTCGGAAAAGGAATGGACGGAATTGGTGGGATTGCCGTCTTCGGGACCGCCGGAATGGAAGGTATTGGAGGCAGCGTCAGCGTGGTTGGAACTGCTGGTATGGAAGGCACTGGAGGCAGTTTGGTTGGAACCGCTGGAATGGTCGGCTGAGCAGGTGCAGCCTCTGGCGCAGCTGCTGTGTCCAAAAGATGTCGAGCTGCAAAGCTGCCATTGAAGGCAGTCAGGGCTAGGAGCAGGACGAGAAGATGGCAACCAGGTCCGCTACGAGCCATGGCTATTAGTGCGTGTATTTGCTTGGGAGTATTAGAGATGTTTTGCTCTTTGGCGATGCCTGTGAAGATGAGACCTGATGCTGGGAGTATTTATAGCAGCATCAGCATGTGGTCAGGTGAGAGAGCAATGGTCATCGTTGGTTGTTCACCTGTGTCTGGCTTCTGAACTCATCTGACATTTGGTTGTTTACCAGCCAATGCGCATTGGAGGTATCAGGTATAGTTCGATCTGGGAGTTAGGAAGTTTTTGCTCATTTGTTCAACTGACTTTGGATACGCGGTCTAGTTGTTGGATATGTTGCTCTAACCTTTTGACAGGCTCGTTGAAGTAAGGGAGCCCACAAAGAATTTCAATGCATCTAACGATGAGAAATTATGATAAAAAAACAATGAGAAATTAAGAACATACTCCCTCCGCCCAACAAAAGGGATGCAATTCTAGATTTTAGATAAGTCAAACTTTTCTAAGTTTGAACAAGTTTATAGAAAAAAATATAAACATTTATGTCTTCAATTAATTTTACTATAACAATATATTCCATAATCAATATAATGATACTTACTCAGTATCATAAATGTTAGTAATTTTTTTTATAAATTTAGTCAAAATTAAATTTATTTGACTTCTTGAAAATTGAGAATTGCAGTTTTTTAGAATGAGGAAGTACGTTCTACCTTACTATTTTATTTGTTCCAAAAAATAATGAGGTACAATATTTTTTTCATGCATGGAATCATTATTTTATATATATATATATGACAACCATTCCGGACCTGCGTGGCAGGGGTTACAGTGCAAAGTTGCGCACACTATTACGTGGACTGGGTTCGTGGTCTATGGACCGAAGGTGGGATGAGAGTGCGGTTTACCATGGACGGAGTGCGTGGTGAAGGTGTATCGGCTGGGTGTTCCTCGCCATAGATCTCAAGATGAACGGCCCTACTGCTCTGCTGGTACAGGCATGTATATGTATGTGTATTTGGAGTGTATTTGCCGATTTATTTTCCTACAGAAAAACGGCAAGATGACATGGGTGTGCAGTGTTCGTTGCGTTCATTCAGAGCAAGCAGAGCACGGCGCTCTGTGCTCGGCTCGGCCGGCACGCTGCGCGCGGGGGGAGGGCGCAGGAGGTGCCGCGCTCGGTCCGTCCTTTGAAAAAATATATATAATAATGATTTCATGCTAAAAAATATTATACCTTATTTTGAGAAAGTTATTGCAATTGTAGGTTGTTGAATTGTTGCTTTCGACGCCAGAGGTAAAAGAGTTATTTCACGTACAATTTAACACCGTTAGCCCATAAAATTAACGAAAGGGCCCAGAAACTAAAAGAAATTCATTTTAAGACTAAATAAGTAAGTTCGTGAGAAAAATGGCCAAGAAACTAAGCATCACTTTTTTTAGGCTAAGAAAATAATTTCCTCTTCAAATTTGCTTAAGTTTGATTAAGTTCGTAGAAAATAGTATCGATATTTATATTTCCAAATATGTTTACTATAAAAAAATATTTTATTATTAATCTAATAATACTCATTTGGTATCATAAATAGTAGTACTTTTTTTTATCAAATTAGTCAAGCTTAAAATTATTTAGCTCCTCCGAAAAAAGAATTACATTCTTCTTTGCACGGAGAGAGTATGTTACTGTTGTACAAGCGCATTGAGTTCCTATCACAGCACGTCTTGGAGAATAGTGTTGCCACAACTGCACGGACTTGGATCAGGTGCAGTTACAACTGCTGCTGCAACTTTAGCAAAGATTCAACGTCCGTGATCAACCGGACATGACCTCTCTACTTGGTAGCTGCTGCTCTACTGCGGGATGACTAGTAGAATTATTTTTGTATTCATTGTAACGCAAAGTACATGCAGCAGTACTCGCATGAATATAAAATATGTCTTCTAGCTTTCTCGTATTAAGTTTGATCGAGTCCATAAAAAATACATCAACATTTACGGATGTCAAATTAGTTTCACTGAATCCATCATGGCATATGTCTAGTGATGTTTTCTACTTTTCTAGATTTTAATACAATTTTCTATAAACTTGGCTATCAGAGAAGTTTGAATAACAATAAAATTAAAATAATTAGTACTCTTCTTCTTCTCCTACGCCATCCTTCCTCTTCTTCTTCGCCTGCGTCAACCTTCCTCTTCTCCTGCGCCGGCGAGGCGAGGGCGGGGCTCGGCGTGGTGCGGCGGTTGCAGCACCCATGCTGCGAGAGGTCTCTGAGGTCGGGGCCACTAGTGCTCGGAGAGGCCGCCGTCGAGATTAGGCATGACCCCCACGCCGACAAGAGCGAGCGTGGCCTCCACGCTGACGAGAGCGAACGCGCCACCTGGCGCACCGAGAGCGAGCGTGACCCCGACGTTTTTAGAATCACTTCGAAATCACGTTTTTACTAATTCACATTATAAAACCAAAATCGCTTGGAACCGTTTCTACCCGAAACGTTTCTCTTGTTAGCTGTTTGGCACAGATTCTTCGGTTCCAAACAAGAATCTAAAACGTTTTGGCCTTCCAAACAACCCCTCAATGTTCTCTATTCCTAATCTGGTATAGAACAATTTACACAATATCAAACGTAAGGAAAAATTTACAGCAAATATAATATACAAATCATACCTGCCCAGATTTTCCGCCACAATGAAAAATAATTTATGCTATGTTTCAGTTGGTTAGGAAAAAGATCACACTAACCCTACGTTGATGTTTGCATTTTTCTCCAAGAGTTGATGGTTACATTCATGGGAGTACTACATGTACTTTGCGTTACAACGAATTCAAAAACAATTCTACTTTAGATAACATTAACCTCTCAATTTAGAGCAAATTATATTACTATAATATGATCTATTCTTTAATGTTGTTTATTACCTACAATTTTTAAATATCCATGACATCCCATCAGATTGCTAAGAACAGTAGCTTTACTTAGTCATCCTGCAGTAGATCAGCAGCTACCAAGTTACAGAGGTCATGTGCGGTTGATCATGGACGGTGAATCTTTGCTGGATGGTTGGATCGGGTGCTACTGCTAAAGTTGCAGTAGCAGTTGTAACTGCACCTGATCCAAGTCCTGCCTGCGCCCTACATGTACTCCAACTCAGTCAAACTTAAAAGTTCAACTTAACAATTTTAAGAATTAATTTATTCAGGAACAGAGGTGATACCATTGAAATATTATTTTTAAAGCTACAAATGATTAGACACTAATCCCAATTTAGTGTACCATAGCACTTTCTTCAAAACTTTCAATGTCATATATAGGACAAAATGATACTACTGTCATATGCACAATGTTGCTAGAGTTCTCTCTTTAAGGATACAAGGGCAAAGCGGATCCCGCTGCGACACCATTGCCCCACCCTACCCCGATGCTACTGCTCGACCCTTGTCGTGCCATGCCTTGACCGCCCGATGCTGCTCCAACCCTCAACTCCGTCCTGCCCCACAACTCTCCACCCTATTCTGCCACCGGCCCATTCTTCACCTCTGCCACACTAAAGTGCCGCCCTCCGCCAAGCTGCTTCCACTCTCACCCACTGCTCCATGGAGTCAATTTGGGTTGGCCGACCGCCCCTTCTAGTTCCTGTATGTCAAGAGGAGTAGAAGAGGAGCAAGCATGGATCTGCCAGATCTCGCTATTGGTTTCTCCACTAGCATTGCCACTACTCCTTCCACTACATTGATGTCATCATCCTAGGCATAGGGAGCGACAATGTCGCCTCTGGCCTCCCCCGGTTTCACCGTGTTCCGGCTCTCCTTCCCAGCATCTCCATCTTCACAATGCTTAGAGTTGGGTAGATGGTGTGGCTACATATCCACCAGATGGGTGTCATGATTTGCCATCGACTTTGGCTAATCACCATCCTTGATTTGCTGCATGCGGTTTTCATTGTTGTGCCGCACATGGTTCGTGCACCTTAGATCTTTAGTTTGTGCTTGGGCTTGTGATGAAGTCTTTCGCTCATATCTCTAGGAGTTCTTCATATCTTGGCTTGAGGAGGTGAGGCATCTACCATCAAGTTGTGGCTTGCATGGATGGCCAACCATCTGGAATGTGTAGAGCCACCAAGTGAGGACCCCCTTTGTTGCAGACTTAGCCGATCTTTTAGTCCTTGTTCCCTCATCGACACTCTTTGACTCCATCATTCTTGACTAGTTTCATGCCTACTTTGGACTCCACAATATGCGATGAGAAGTTGATGGTCGTAGTGGATCCAGACAATTAAGATCTTTCTGGCACTAATGTTTTGGATGGGTGAAAATCTCGGTTTGGTTTTGATGGTTGAGTGAACATTAGTGGACTAATGTTTTCATGTGAGATGAATAGGTGTTTAGTCCACAAGCTTGTCCTGAGCATCATGAAGGCCATAGTGGAGGTGCTAGGAGCATGAGGTGCAATGGCTCAAGATGAGAGGAGATGATGGAGTTGAAGGCAAACCCCAAGGCAAAGGTATGAGTTATAGGGATTTTGCTTTCACTGGCTTAAGATATGTAGAGAAGTGATTGGTTAGGTTTAAGATAGATAATCATACTATAAAGAGGGAAAATCTTTGGTTAATATGATTATCTAGTGCCACTAGATGAGATCTAATAGTGCATATGTATTAGATCAAATGGTGAGAAAACCTTTGAAAATGTTTCAAATAAAAAACTTCTAAACTACAAAGGTTTAGATTATGGCGGGGGCTATAATTTTTTAAGTTTGTATTCATCTGATTTCGTATGAAAAGTTATGAATTATTTTTGGAAGCGGTTATTTCTATAGGTGCAGGCCTTTTAAGATGCGGCTTAGAATGCCCGCCTCTGTTAATAGTAATTTTCATAGACAGACGTCATACCCGATTAACAGAGGCAGCTACCTTAGGATGCTTGCCTCTGAAAATGGTTAATAGCAGAAGTTTACTTGGAGGTCATCTGACCATTTAGAGAGGTAGTCCCTAGATGTGTCCGTCTTTGTTAATTAGAGAGGTTGCCTCCAAGAATCGCTTTAAGTTTTACAGAATCCATCCCCCCTATTGGTTCGTTCGGTACTTACAGCTGGCAAGATATGCGCCTTCTCGTGCGTCGTACTATAGTGTAACGGCTATGTAATGACCAGTTTTTGGGTGAGGAGCATAAATACTCCTAGCTTTCTCCTTTAAGGGTTGCTGATTATGATGCTTTCTGTAGCCTTTCTAAGCCTTTTGTGTTCTTTAAACGGGCCTTAGGCTTTCTAGAGGCGGCTCTCTAGTGAGATCTACCTGTGTAAATCCGCTGAGGTGGGTTTTGTCCATTTGACTATTGAATATGATTTATGGAGGCAGTAGATTAGGTAAACCTGTGTAAATCAACTCAACTATCTCCTAAAATCAGTTTTGTAGTAGTAAAACATACAAAAAATGATTGTTTTATGATGTGGAGAGAAGAGGTGATCGTTTTGTGAAGCACTCGTATCATGAGCTAAAATTTAGTGTCACGAGAAGTCTTACACTATTGCATTCAATAATATTGCAACTCGCAACTCAATTTCTTTATTCTATGAACAAATTAAAGAACTGTTCAGTTAACTTGAGATAACTTGAAAGATCCTTTATGCTATGCCCAATTGTGGAGTTAACGAAATAACTTAACCCATTACATGGTGCGGAGAGCCGGAGGCCGTCTATAATAATAACAATGCACCAATGCACCGCGGTTGCCTAGTTAAGGAAATGAAATGAAGGACCAAGGACTCGTCTGGGCTTTTTTTTTCTTTTCTTAATAACACTACATAATATATTCAAACTCCTAATTCCTCGTTTTTTTGACAATCCTAATTCCTCGTTTTAGAGGAGAAGGAAAGGCTCAAATAGCCCTTACAAAATGTCAAAACCTAGCTCCGGGCCTCTGGCCAATGCAGCGCGGTGCAACTTTGCAACCCTCCAGCAGTTCCAGCCTTCCACCACGCACACCTTGCCCTAAATTCCACTATCGCCAACAGTATACCCTGACAAGTCCGCATGATCATACGTACTAGATATATTTTCAAGTGCAAGATCAACTATTGAAATCACACGTAAAATTAGATTAGCACGAAAGAGTTTGGAAGCAGTTGTACGACGATCAAGTGGATCATCAGTTCAGCACGGCGTTGGGCGCTTCATATTGCCACCGCCTAGCAGCTCAGCACGGCGTTCGATCACTGCACCTTGGCGATCTGCGCGGAGGAGAAGCGTGGCCGCTTGTATCCCTCCCCGGCGGCGGCGACGACGTGGTCGTCCCGGTTGAGCAGCACGGCGCGCATCGCCGCGCGCAGCGTGGACAGCGCCACCGCCCTCCCGTTGCCCGCGGCGGCGGTTGCGTTGCCGTCGTCGTCGTCGTCGCCGCGGACGTCCAGCTCCAGGACGCTGCGGGTCCTCCCGCCGACGGTGGCGATCTCTACGCGGACGGGGCGCGCGTTCCGGACGGACCGGACGGCGCGGCCCAGGTCGGACAGGAGCCCCGGGCGGTCGTCGCAGCACACCCACGCCCTGACGACGCGCCGCGGCGGCAGGCTGTCTTCGGCATCGGCGCCGAAGTGACGACCGTTGCGCCGCCAGAAGTCGTCCTCCTCCTCCTCGGCGCCCACCTCGTCGCCCTCCCCCGGGATGACACCGGGGCCGACCCCCGCCGCCGCGTCGCTCGCCTTCGCGCGCAGCTCCCGCACGTGCCGCACCACCTCGCCCAGCAACGCCGCCTTGTCCATCTGCACGAGCGCGAGCCAACCACCATGCACCCCATCAGGATTCAGGAGAGAGCCATGCATCATTCACAAGGGAGCCCATGCTCCTTCGATCGTTTTTGTCTCTCGTGTGTAACGCACGCACGTACCCGGGATGCGGAGGGGACGAGGGTGCGGAGCGTGGCGAGGTGCGCGTTGATCCGCTGCCGCCGCTTGCGCTCGGCCTCGCTGTGGCTCCGGCCCCGCTCCTTCTTCCGCAGCGCCGGCGCCGGCGCCGGCGTCGAGCGCTCCCCCTCTCCGTCGTCCGTCACCACCATGTCTCCGCCCACAAGAAACTGAACCGAGCAGCGAGTTGGGCTGGCGTCAAACGCTCGTAGCGCGCTAGGCGATCGTCTCGTCCGGAAGTGGCAGAAGGCTGGAAGCAGAAGCGTCGCGGGCCGGGGTTTTCAAAAGGGACATCTATAGATCAAGTGGGCGGGAAACCCCAGGGGGCGACCACGACATGCTGGCGCAGTGACTGCGCAGCGCTCGGGCCGCGCGCCGCTTCCTCTTTGTTCGGGGTGGCTGGGTGGCGTCAGCGCGGCCCCCCCGCGACGACGGCTGTTTTGGCGCCTGGCGCGCGGTGGAAACGGGGCTTCCGTGGAGGGGAAGGGTTTCGACGCCTTTTTCCTCGTCGGCCGCGCAGGCCTAACCCTGGCCCGGCGCCGAAGCGTGTTTTCGGGCTGGGCAGCGGCAGCCGGCAGCAGGGCAACTGGGCAAGGAGGCTCGGCGACACAGGCAAGCCGACCGGCAACACGTCGTGTCGCGGGGACATGGGAGCGACACGGCGCCTGTGGCTGATCGCTGCGGGCGCTTTGCGTCAGGGCGCGGCAGCCTTTGGGACTGGGAGGGACTGATCAGAATTCCTGCTGGACCGGTGCTGCTTTTCCACGTTCCCATCGGAACGTAACTTGTCGGCTGGTCAGCGAAAAGCGGCGGCGGCCAAAACGCTGCTGCAGCGTAGGAGTGGCTTGCCTGCTCGAAAGAAAAAGAGAGAATTTCTTGGTTGCCACTAATTCATTGCCATCAAAATTTCCAAATTTACCTCACTGTCATCTATTTGAACATTTTGATCCCCTCATTGTCATTGCCGTTACATGGTTAGATATTAGGCAAAACTGGCCATGGGACATCGTTAGAACGTGGCCCTTGCTAAAAACCACTAAAAAAATATGCCTTAGTCAAAAGACAAAAAATCATGGGTAATTTGCTACCGGACACCCAACTTATTATTTTATTTGATTTTAATAGACAGCCACGCGAAATGACGGATATGCCCTTGTCTCTTTATCCCTTCAGTTCAGAACAGATCAGGACTTCAGGAGCCCGTGCGTCGGTGCGTGCGGCTGCCCTCAACTCGCTCGCACAGAAAAGCAGCAGGAAGCGGCCGCGCCATCTCCCCCACCGCCGGCGGCGCCCTGCGACGGCCACGGTGGTGGCGCCCATAGACGGCTACGACGACGGCAGGGCTCGCTTCTTGAGACGGCAGCAGCGCCTGCTTTCGGTAGCAGCAAAGGGAGCAGCGGCGGCGCCCAGTCCCAGAGGTAGTGATGGTGATGGAGTCCCCACGATTCTTGAGCGACATTTTCCCCGAGGAGCATGCTGATCTCTCATGGGTTCCCGACGGGTAACTAATTTCTGCCATTATCCCTACCCTAGGGATCATTCAGATTATCTTCTATTACCCTAGCCTCAATTGAAATCGTATGGCGTGTTCATTCAGATTATGTTTCTGTTCATATTTATGTATGTAGGATGGATCCCAATTCGTCTTACAGGTTTGCCGCACGTGTAGGTGCTTTTATTAAATTGACTCAAGATGGCAAGCGCGAGTATTGTGATGCTTGTAACATTGCTAAGATTTTAGATAGGGATACCACAAATTGGAATGATTTGCTACTTGAAATTGGTACAGAAATTCAGCTAGACTCTAAACATAAGTTACGTGTCACCTATTGGGATAATATGAGTCGTAGCTATGAAGAAATTGATTCTGATAACAAACTGCTGCATGCAATTGACATGTATTAGGAGATAAGAAGGCTCTCAGTGCAAGTGCGGGTTATGATAAAGGATGATTTTTGTTTGGAGCTTGATATTGGGCGACAATAGAACATGCATTGTGTGTTACAGGGTACCACTGATGCTCCTGCCAACCAGTTAATTGCGCAGCCTACTCTTGAAATTGCATCATCCCTAGTAGAGCCTCCGGTCAAGAACAATCCTGAAGTGAATTGGGTCGATGATGATGTAGAGTATGTTGGTCTAGATGATGAGGACCCCTACAAATCGTTGCTTTCTGATTTGTCGGATTCTGAATCAGATGACGATGTAGAGGATGATGAGTGTATTGGTTTGGATGATGAATTACTAGTGGAGGATGCACGGGATTGTGAGACCATTGTCCATGCAACTGACTTAGAGAACCCAACAATAGAAGTTGGTGTAACATTTGGGGATGGTGATACTTTGAAGAAGGCTATTAGGCAATATGCAATAAAGGGTGAATATGAAATTGCAGCTGCCTATTCTGAGTCAACAAGATACAGAGGCTACTGCAAAGCTGAACGGTGCAAGTGGAGGATACATGCTTCACAGTTGCAGGAGGGGATGACCTGGAAGGTATGATTTTGCAACTTGCATTATTGTTTGTATACAATTTTGTACAATTTCAGATTTATACAACTTCAATTTTTTCCATTTGGTGTAGATAAAAAAGATACCTCATGTGCATACTTGTCAAAGCACTGGAAAAGTTGAGCATAAGTGCATGGCAACCAATCATTGGGTCAAGGATAGGGTTCTTAGTTGGCTTGCAAAGGATCTCACAATTGGAGCTAAAGAACTGAAGAAAAGACTAGAAGAACAGTATCACCTGAAGTTGTCATATTATGTAATATGGGATGGTGGGAATATGGCTGTGGAACAACTCAAAGGGAAGTGGGATGACAGCTTTGAGCATGCTTTTAGTTTCAAGGCTGAGGTGGAGAAGACCAATCCAGAGAGTTTGGTTGACATTGAATATGAGCAAGTGGTAAAGAAGATGAGATTTACAAGAATGTTTGTTGCCCTAAAAGCCTGTGTAGATGGTTTTCTAAATGGTTGCAGGCCTTTCCTTGGCGTAGACTCTACTCATTTGACTGGGAAATGGAAGGGACAACTTGCATCTGCTACTTCTATTGATGGGCATAATTGGATGTTTCTAGTGTGCTACGGTGTGTTTGGATCAGAGACAACTGAAAATTGGTCTTGGTTTTTTAGGAGACTTCATCAAGCAATTGGATCACCTCCAGGCCTAGTGATCTCAATAGATGCAAGCAAAGGAATTGATTATGATGTTATTCAAGTCTTCAAAAATGGAGTTGAGCATAGGGAGTGCATGAGACACTTAGTTGCAAACTTCCAAAAACGGTTCAGAGGTGAGGTCTTCGAGAAGCACTTATGGCCAGCATGTAGAGCTTTTCAAAGGCACAGGTTTGAAGAGCACTACAATTTGATGTATGAAGCATGTCCTAAAGCTATGAAGTGGATACATGAAAACCATAAGCACCTATGGACAAGGCACCTATTTCTGAAGCAAGCAAGTGTGACAATGTAACAAATAACATAGCTGAAACATTCAATAGCTGGATTAGGGATGAGAAATCACTGCCTGTAGTTGATATTATGGATAGGATAAGGCAATTATGCATGGATAAAATGTTCTTGAGAAGAAAAATTGCCAAGAAGCTTAAAGATAAGATTTTGCCTAACGTCATGAAGGACCTCAATGCAAGAAGCAGGGGGTTGAAATATATGTGGAGGTATGCATACAAAGATGGTGGCAGAGATAATGAAATGTTAGGTGAAGTCGAAGGTGTTACAAGGGATCTAGTTCATTGGAGGCATACTGTTGATCTTCAAGAGAGGAAGTGCACCTGTAGACGTTGGCAAGTTACTGGTCTGCCATGTACACATGCCTTGTGTGTTATCACCTCAATTCGAGGTTGTAATATTGACGGCTCTGTTCATGAATACTACTCTATCACAAAGTTTAAGAAGGCATACCAAAAGTGTGTGAAGCCAATGGCAGATAGGAAACAGTGGCCTCAAGTGAACCTTGAATTTAAGTTGTGGCCTCCAATTCTGAAACCAGCAGCTGGGAGACCAAGGAAGAGGAGGCTTAAATCAGCTGCAAAAGGTGGATCTAGAAAGAGAACCACGAGATGCAAAAGGTGCAAACAACTTGGACACATGGCGAAAATATGCAATGAATATGTCTATGATTCTGATGCACCACCACCTGCTGCTCCAAAGCCAAAGAGAAAGAGAGGCAAGAAAAGTGTCACAGTAGTGCCATCTAGTGCTGCTGAGCCACCACAGTGAAAGCTCTAGTTTGATTTTGGTGAATTGATGAAACCCTAAGTGATAATCTAGTTTATCAAAGTGATTATAAGATAGGTAGCACTATTCCAAGTGATGAAGCAACAGTGAAGATCATGATGATGGTGATGCCATGGTGATGATCAAGTGCTAGGACTTGGAAAAGAAGAAAGAGAAAAACCAAAAGTTCAAGGCAAAGGTGAAATTGATAGAAGCTTTTCGGTTTAGTGACCGAGACACTTAGCGAGTGTGAACACATTTAGGATCGATAGCCGTACTATTAAGATAGGTGAAACTTGGATCGAAATGCGGTTATAAAAGTGCCACTAGATGCTCTAACTCATTGTATATGCATTTATGATCTAGTGGAGTGCTAACACCCTTGAAAATATTTGTGAAAATATGCTAACACATGTGCACAAGGTGATACACTTGGTGATTGGCACATTTGAGCAAGGGTAGAGAAGTTAGTGAAGTGAAGGAGGTGATAGTCACTGAAAAACAGTGACCGGACGCCGGCCACGTGGTGATCGGACTCGGGGGAGCAGCGTCCGGTCATTTATAAAATCAGTGGTGTGCTCGGGCTACTCTCGGCCTAAGACCGGACGCAGGTGACCAGACTCTGGCTGAACACTGTTCAGCATCCGGTCCTACTGACGTGGCGACGCACAGAGAAGAGGAGGAGGAGCGGACGCACCAGCGCGTCCGATCATGATTTTGCCTCTCTGGAACCTTACTGGAAACGACCGGACTCCAGTGATGGAGCGTTCGGTCACTTTAAGCAGTGCGTCCGGTCGCAACTTAACACATGGCGCGAAGCAGACTAGCCGTTAAGATCGGACGTTCAGCATTTGAGGCTGATGACACGTGGCGAGCAGCGAGCTACCGGACGCTGGGGTCCTACGTCCGGTCAACCTGACCGACGCGTCCGGTCAGCCCGTGTTTTACTGGACAGAGGAGCCAACGGCTCTATTTGTGGGGGCTCTCTATTTAAGCCGCATGGCCGGCTCAAGCTCACCCTCTTAGCCATTTGCATTGACATGACAACCTTGTGAGCTTAGCCAAAGCCCTCTCACTCATCTCCATCATTGATTCATCATCTTTGTGAGATTGGGAGTGAATCCAAGTTCATTGCTTGAGCGTTTGCATCTAGAGGCACTTGGTGTTTGTGTTTCGCTACAGGATTCGCTTGTTACTCTTGATGGTTGCCGCCACCTAGACGGCTTGGAGCAGCGAGGATTATTGAGCGGAGGTTGGTGATTGTCTCCGGCTCCGATTATGGTGATTGTGAGGGGTTCTTAACCTTTCCCCTATGGAGAGTCAAAAGGTACTCTAGTAAATTTCTCGTGGCTTGTGTGATTCTCATCTTGTGTTGGTTGTGCGACACCCTATTGAGGGTTTGGCGTGTGATACCAATTAGCGCGTGAACCTCTAAGTAAGTGAATCGCCACAATGAGGACTAGCTTGTCGGCAAGCAAGTGAACCTCGATAAAAATTCATTGTGTCATCATTTGATTCCGAGGTGATTGGTCTTCATTGGTATTCATTCTTGTAATTGATTGGTTCATTACTCGACTCGACGGTATAACCATCTTGCTCTCTCCCTTTACATTACCGCAAACTAGTTGTCAAGCTCTTTAGTGTAGCTAATCGTGAGAGCTTGTTAGTTTGGTTAGTGTGGCTCTTTAGTTAGCCTTTGGGAGCACATTAACTTAGTGTAGTGACATAGCCATTGTGTGGATAGAGACTATAGAAATTAGAATTGTGGTAGGTAGCTTGCATTTTTAGTAGGCTAGCGCAACACTCGCTTAGCCTCATATTTGTCTAACCGGTTTGCTAAGTGTTGTTGTAAAAATTTTTAATAGGCTATTTACCCCTTCTCTATCCATTAGGACCTTTCACACAGGAACTACCATCATGTGTTGACCCATTGTAAGCCTTTTGAACTTCTTTATGGATTTTCAATTTTCACCTAACTTACACATATCTTATATATTTAAACAACTTGCAATGCTACACCCATAAGACCCATCACTTGTTCTCATACACCAAGCCCTATTACAAGAAGGTATAATTGCAATTTGCACATTTGAGATATTTGTCCCCTTGTCAAATCTGTAATAGTGTAATATCATATGATTGTATTTGCATGTAGTATGACAAGGAGGCTGCTGGAACTAGAATCATCTACACCAACTAGACTCACCATCTCTGTTTCTACTCCAAGTCCTATGACAAGAGGGTATAACTCTTGTAGATTTTTATTATGTGTTCATGTTGCTGTTTCTATTTAGCTAACATGTTTCTATACTCATCTATAGTCGTAAGAGGTTGCTGGAACTTGAAGACACCATATAGCCTGTTGGATGTCCAATCACATCTCCATTTAGTGTTGACAAGGAAAAGGCAAAGAAGCTGCAGGTTGTTAGGTGTAAAAAAGCATAGGCTGTGCACTTTAGTTAGTTGAAACCTGTTACTCAGCCTATATTTTGTGGTTGTACTTGACTGAAAGTGTGGCTGAAATGTTGCTAGAATATGTTATTTTGTGGGCTTGGACCTGCTACTTTCTTTTGAACCTGTCATGTTCATGGATCTGTTAAAATGTTGCTGTAATATGCATGTTATTGTGATAAAATATAACTTGTTATGTTGCTGGAACCTTGAATTGAAGGGTAAGGGTATTTCTGTCCAGATATTATGTTTACTTACCTGTTTGAATGAGAAATCATATTATAAAAGTTATAGTGTCCAGCAGCAAATGACCATATTTTTGCAATAGTTTGTGGCAAAGCCATTCTTTTTTAGTGGTTAGTGGCAAAAGCCACGTTTTTTCAATGTCCCCCGGCAAATTTTGCCTAGATATTATTTCCCTGGCTATATATATATATATATATATATATATATATATATATATGTATATGTATATATATATTTTTCTTCCCTTCACGGCCATGAAACGCAACGGCGTTTCCTGGTTCCCTAGCTAGCCCTGTTCACGGTTTGTCAACCAAACCATCGTAACTGGTTCTATACGGGTGGTGGATTGGATTACATTAGCACGCATTGGTTCTGATTCGTTGCAAGTCCGCGGCTGTTCGCCCAGCATAGCGAGGTGCATGTGCTAATGTGTGGCCGAGGCCTAGTCATTGTTGCTGCTGGCCACGTATCACGCCGCGCCGCTGCCTAGAATTTGAAAGAGGACAATGCGTGCGCAAAACTTTTGCTTCCCATATCGTCTAGACTCCTCGATGGCCGACGCGGAAGACGTGACCCCTAACGCCGAAGCTGCCCAGAACCGACCCTCGACCCCCGACGCAGACGCCGCCTAGGTCCGACGCCTCGACGCAGAGAGCGACGCCGGATCGAATCGGATCGGTGACCCACACGTCCGCCTCGACGCTTCGACGGTCAACGCCCCGTGCCATCGCCTAGGCGCCCCGATGCATAGACCCCGTACCGACGTCCCTGCATCGCCGCCCTATCGACCGGAAAAGGCAGGACGATAGCGTGTCGCTGCCCCCACGGGAGCGCCCAGCTCGCTTCGCCGCAATCTCGCTGGTGCCGCGAGCTGGACCGCTGGTCATCGCGGCCCTCGCGTGCCGCTCGCCGCTGTCCGCGCGAGGTCTGCCGGCACCAAAGCGGCCTCGCCATGCACCGGCGCTGCTGCCCCGCACGCGAGCTCCCAACTCGCTGGCGCACGCGAGGTCCGCTCGTGCTGCTCCCCGCGTGAGGTCTGCCCACGCCGCCGTGGCCTCGCTGTGAGCTGGCTCCGCCGCTAGCCAGTCATCGCTGGACCTGTGCCCGCTCACCGTCATCCCCACGCGCGAGCTCCTAGCTCGCTTTGCTACGCGTTCGGTGCTGCCCTGTGCGCGTCGCAGCTCGCCGGGGCCTTGGGGTCTCGGGGATAGCGACCTGGCCATCGCGTCGTGCTGCGGCGGCGAGCGCACGGCGACAGGGACGAGGATGACGCGACCGTAACGGAGGTAAATGGTGGGGCCCAGCTATCAGCGACTGTAACTTCATAGGTCTTAACGAAAATGGCAATTAAGGAAACACAAAATTTATTTGCTGGCAGTGAGGTAAATTTGTAAATTTTGATGGCAACGAAGGAAGTGCTATAATTTTTAGTGGCAACGAAGGAATTCTCTCAAACAAAAAAATCACCGTCCAGAGAGAATCGAACCATTACATACGAAGTAACAAGTGAATGTAACAGAACCGACCAATTATACGAAATTAAGTAAGAAAATCATCCACCAGAGCAGACGATTGAGCAAACTTAAGCCCGTATAACCCGGTAGTCCGTGAAATCACGAAGGATTTCAAACCAACTCGTGTCCCAGCCATGATCGTAATAAGTTTAGCGGTCACCAATCACATATTACATAAAAGTTTCCATAACAGATACATCAGAGTTTAAATAAAAGTTATTACAAAACAAGTTCGAATAAAAAGTAGCGGAAGTCATTTGTTTAAAACCACACACACTCACACGGAGTTCAAATATAGTGCCAGCTGATGATCATCTCCAACAAAAGCATTAGATGAGACGTAAGGAATGACCATGCCCATGGTCCTAAGCATCACCCATCGCAGGATAGAGGCAGTTGATACAATAGCCATAGTACATCTGCCCATCTGCAACAAGTGGGAATAAAACCCTGAGTACGAGAATGTACTCAGCCAGACTTACCCGACATAACCGAAAATAAATGACACCAAGGATTATGCAGGCATTATAGTAGGGTAGCTGACTCATTTATGCGAAAGAAGCATTTTTAGCATTTCAAGAACCTTTCTAAAAGCATTATTGTCAAGTTAATTATTATTAACTCTGTCGACTAGATTTGCACCTATACTAAAGTAAACATGTGATTAAGCAATTAATGATAACCATCGATCATTAAACAACTTCCATATTGTCATATTCACTATAAGCGTCCAAGTGTTCCATAAACATTTACTACGATGAAGTCACTCAAGTCAAGTGCTCACTATCCCAGAGCGATGGCGATTGAATCGATTCCTAACCACCGGTGATTTATTCCTTACACAAATCTCACTCACCCGCTAAAGTGAGATATTGATCACCGAAGTCAACTTTCGGTATCTCGAGTTTGCCAGAACCACATGTACCGGGGGCCGACCGACCGCACTTTGGTCTTATCATCCCGCCCGTGTCCTACCACACACTGCCCGCACAAGGCGTCATGGGCAATCTACTCGGGCTCGAAAATCTCTCGACGGGGTCGGAAGGTACTTTATCCGCCAGCTAAATGTAAGGCATGCGTTCAACATGACTCGAGGCCCAACAACGGTCGGTCCTTAATCGACACTGAGACGGAAACACTACGTACCAAAACCCCGCAAGTCTCCGCCCGGTCTCAACTTCATTTAACACTTAGTTATACCATGACTTCATAGCCATCCAAACAGATCCGGTAACCACCTATAGCTCGCAGTGACAGGAAATCACCCGACTTCTACCGGTCTAAGCCAACTAAGCATTGACGATCATTGCGGATACCGTGGTAACAAGGATATAGTATAACAAAGGTAAACAAGGTATAATGCAAAGAACGGTTGCAAACAACTCCTGAACGTAATGCATCAATTTAAAGTAAAGCATTTAACGAAATCATTGCAAACCGGAGAAAGATGCTCGGGCTTGCCTCTCTCAAGGAGCTCAGACGGTGATCGGGGCACTCGGAAGTTCTTCAACGCCCTCCTCGCTGGCTTCGGCACTTTTCTGGCTTGCACTCGAACTGCGCCTCGGGCTCCTCGGGAATGACGACTGGGTTCTCGGTTTGCGATCCTGTATGATGCAATGTGTAAGTGCCTATGCAATCGGTGCATCGAAGGAGATGAATGCAATGAATATGTTGAAAGGCAAGGTAGACAACATCATCCAAGAAACTATGCTACAAGCACATGTCATCTACTGCATTCTCTTCTACTACCCATATGTTAAGTCAACATATTTTAATAAATGCTTCAAAGATACACCAAAGCTTTACTAATTTCTTAATCACACTTAAGGCAATACTTGCTTAAACCCTAATTAATAATAGGTTTGAATAGCAACCTATATTTCTGATGTTCCTAAAAATCTGAGAAAATTACAGTAGCATAATACTACCCTAAACAGACTACCATAAAAATTTCATGGCATTTGGATAAGTAAACTATCCTACACAAAAATGACAAGCTATAGCCTAAAAATGAGCATGAAATTACTTTGTACTATGAAAAGTGTCAAACAACAGAATTAATATTTTCCTAGGTTCTTCATGGTATATAATGACTGTACAAAAATTGTCACATGCATGTTTTATACAAAATTTGTGCTCTAGCAAAAATAACAAAAATCAGCCATTAAAGGAACTTGAACTACACCTCAAATTTTTCCCACAGCACATGCATGAAACATATTTTTCCTAGGAAGTACATGAAATAAGAAGATTAACAAACTTGGAATCATATTTTTCTGAAGCCTATATATATTTTTCTACATATTTTTCAAGTTATCAGCAATATTCAAGATTAAATAAAATCCTATAGAAAAGTATCTCAAAAATGACATGCACTATTTTTCCCAAGTAGATCTGATGATAAGGAACCTAGCAAAATTTGTTTCAACAAATTTGGAGCAAGTTTGACCATCCAAACATTTTTCAAACCATTTTTGATTTCAAATAACAAATAAAAAAGGGAAATCAATTCATTTCAGAAATGCTGGGCCGGCCTGAAGAGAACAGCTGGCCCACGGCCATCATCACCGCCTCTGCGCGGCTGAAGCGCGAGGGGAGGAGACGGCCCAACAGTAGCGCCACCACCACTACCCGTTTCGGCCGGCCACCGAGGCAAGGTGCCTCGCATGAAAGTGCTTATTGGCGACGACTGGCTGCATGTTTCGCCAATGCGTACGGCCAACTTCGGCCATGGCAAGTACAAGCAATGAGCATAATAGGTGTGCGAGGCCATGGCGAAAGCAGCAGGCATTACCACGCAATTTGGGAAGGGGAGGAAGAGAGGCGCCACCACGGGCGGGCACGGGCGGCGGCGCCATGGACGCGGTGGCGAGGCACGGGAAAGCTTACCCAGGCTCGAAGGCGGCAAGCGCGAGCGTGAGCCAAAGGAAGGCGGAGGCGCTGCTGTGGGCGCGAGCAATCGGAAAATGATGCTGCGTGTGAGAGCTTA